GCGCCCTCTCAGCCCCCCCCGGGACGGCGGCTGCCGCTGCTGCTCGGGCGCCCGCCCCGGGGCCCCCACACAGGCTCTCCTGCCACCCCACCCCGCTGCCGGGCGAGTTCTCAGGAAACATTCCTGGAGGAAAGGCGGCAGGGGTTAGGCACAGTGTCCTCCGCTGTCCCTCTCTGTCATTCTCCACCGAAAGGACCCGGGTGTTATGTAAGCACACGAGACACAGAGACAGAGAAAACCACTTCGCTCTGGCACGGTAGATTCCGGCCGGGAGCGCTGGGCACGCAGTGACTAGTGGCAAGTGGTGAAAGGAGTTTCCAGCAGCTTCCTTTTGGAGGACAACAAAGCCACATCTGGAACATCCTGCACTGGGCATCCTGCTTGCTGGTCAGGGCAGTTAGGGCCTATGTAAGTAAGTAAGTAAGATCATTGAAATGTGACTTTATTAAAGCTTTTCTATACTCTTATTTGTGTTCTTTGGGACACACGCTGTTTGTTTATGAATGCTCTTATTCATCTTTGAATTGTCCTTATCTTGCAAAAGAAATCGTAAGACATTTGTTTCATCTGAGCAACTGATCTTTGCACAGAGACCTTACAAGAAATCACCAAAGACTGGAGAGACGTGTTTCCACCCTAAATGTTTGAGACCCCAAATCAGTAATGCCAAGGTTCCTGGTAAATCTGGGTCAAAGTAAACCCAAGGATGTTTCAAATCAACCTAAGAAAAATAAGTAAAAGAAGGTGAATTTTGTCATTTTAGGCTTTTCCCAAAGAGACAAAATTATATTGTCGGTCAAGTGTAAGAATTGTGTCAGGCACAGGCACCATCGATAAAGCCAGAGCGACAGGCGCAGGGGAGCCGAGACCCCGTGGGCCAGCCCACACCTGGGTCTACTCTGCCGCCACGTTGTTAGCGTCACGTTGAAATCGGACAGTAAGGGTGGTCTCTGGACATTATTATTTTCAAGGGGAAAAGCCCACACTCCGTGTGGGCAGGGCTCTGGGCACAGCCACGCGGTGCAGGCACACCTGGCCCAGCTCGGACACGGTCCAGGCTGAGAGGAAGCAGAGGGCCTGCGGGCGGCTTTTTTTCTCCCAGAGGTCGAAATAGTTGCCGTCAATTACTTGAGCAGTAATTAAGAAACAGAAGAGGCCTCTAGAAGGCTGCATAGAGAAGCCATTAATCTTTGTCTTGGAACATGAAATGTGTTGGTTATTACTTTGAGGACCTAAGACAGTCCTTCCTGGGAATCTGGGGCCGATTTTCTGGCTTTCTAGCCCAGCATGGGTGTGTTTACTGAAATACTTGAAACCAAGGTGTAAGTTCATAGTCCCTTCTAGTAGAAATCTACAAAAGTCAAGGAGCAGCACCTTAACCTGTCACATTTTCAGAGAAATAAGTCTGCTGAGGTAGCTGTGACATACCAGTCACAGGCCTGCAGCTCTTGCTTTAATGAAAATACCTGAACTAAAGAATTACTTCAGGTGCTCCCTGTTGTTAACAGCAGGTTGGGCCACTGCACTGCGAATCTAAGCCTAGCTGTGGGGCTATCCCTGCCGGAGGTGAGCCCCCCCCCCCCGCCAGGGTGCAGCAGACCTCGCCTGTCCCCCCGCTGGTCCCCTCACCCACATGGCAAGGCAGACCTCTACTGTCTTGCCACTGCTCTCCACTCTGTATTTAGTGAATCCTCTCACCTCCCTCCCTTCCTGCCAGCACCTCTAGCTTGCACCCCAGTTCTAATATCCATTAATAATAAAAAAAAAATCTTAAAAAAAGTGAGTTGACTCCTTAATAAATGGATCTTCACTTTAAATTAAAATGTTGAAAGGTTTATTTATGCGTACAAGAACTGGAGTACAGGCCAGAGGTAGAGTAGAGGGATGGTGAGAGGATTCACCAAAGACAAGAGTGGG